CCCTGGCCAATCAGGACGTTGTCCACGTGTGCGGAAATCAGTTCTCGGGTAGGGATTGGCTGCATGTGATGTTCCCGTGCTCTCCACGCTCCTCGCGCACCACTTCCTTGAAGTTGTTTACAACTTCTAGTGCTTAGTGAGCTTCCGCTAGGTGCCATCTTTAAGATGAGCGCTGTAGGCGATGGGCGGGGGCGCTCCACATCTCTCTGTATGTGAGCACACATGCCCTAGAGCAAAAAACTCTCAAAATAAAATAAAAGTAAAAATAAAAATAGAGCTTTACAGATACCATGAAAGCTCCACTTACCTGGCTGAGAAGCACATAGATGTCAATTGTATAACCACTGTATTGCTGCACAGATGTATTTTGCCTTCTTTACTGTATTTCACAATAAAAATGCTTTGAAAATATAATCTTTTATCTATTACTCTGTAACATGTAAAATCTAATAAACCAAACAAGCTATTTAATTCAAGCAATAAAAGAGAAAGCTTTTCAAAATAAATATGTTCCAAACTAAAAGAAAGTTTGAATAAAAATATTCTGAATGAGTATAAAGTTTATTTATTTTATAAAACAGTAGAGATAAAAATTTCAAATTTTGGAGAAAACCTGAGTTTAAAAATCAAAGAAACTAAATATTAGAAAATTAATAAGTAAAATAAACACAAAAAGAGATAAAAGACAATAATTCATATTCTTGGAAGCAGAGGGCTTCTTAAGAAAATCATAAAAATTCAAAAAATATAAAAGAAATTTAAAAATTAAAAATATATATTTGACAATCATCCATAAAAGTTTTCAGGTATGTGGTAGATCTGAAGACAACATTCTCAACATGTCAAAAAAACTACAGAATAGGTAACAATCTCCTATAAAGCAATATAAAAAGATAAACGATGTTCCCATGCTCAAAAAATAAAGGTCTTGGAATCAGCAGATGGTATAATAGTTATGTTGCTGGGCTCCCAGGTATTCAACAGTGGTTTGAGTCCCAGACCTGGCAGCCTGAAACTCATGCTGAATACATGTGCATGTGTGCCCAAAATCCTGAGGAGAATGAGAAGGGATTGTGGCATGGCCATCCACCCGCGGGGAGATTGTTTTTATTGTCTCTATAGCAAACATTTCTCTCAAAAGAAAAAAAGGTCTCAGGAAAAATTTAACAACCAATTTTTTTTTCACATTTTAACGTTGTTGTTGTTGTTGTTTTTAATTTCCAGAGGGTGAATTCACCAGAAAGAAGGGGGAAGAAAGAGAAAGCAACCCCCAATGGGGCACAGTCACACCATTATCTCTCTTCCTAAATTTTTCCTTCCTTTCAGGATTTTGGGCATGCATGCACTCACACTCAGAATACTTTTCAAGCTGCCAGGGCCAGTATTTGAATTGTGGTTAGCAATGTGGATTTGCCTCCCAGTATACATACAGCTCTTAACCACTGCACTACAGAGGCAACCCAGTGACCTAAAACCAATAATCCTCTGGGGAAAAATAAAAGTCTTCAAATTTCAAGTAGTAATATTTTTAGGTTCAGTCACAAAATATTGGGACATATCTAGCATGAGCATATGTATATATCCATGTACACACACACACACGCACACACACAATGTGTATATACATTAAACACATTATTGTATTCATTGTTAATGCTGTGTAAGAAATTACTGTAACTTAAGCTTAAAACAATAACATTTACTATCTGATACAGATCTTGAGGGTCAGGAATCTAGGAGCATCTTAGATGGGTAGTTCAGGCTCAGAGTCTCTCATGCAGTCAATCAAGATTGCAGTAATCTCAAGACTCAATCAGTACTGGAGAATTCCATTCCAAGACCACTAATGTGGCCGTTAACAGATCTCAGGTCCTCAGTGGTTGTTAGCTGGGGACTTCATTTCCTTGTTACATGGGTCTTTCCAAGGACTGCTTCCAGCATAGCATCTTCTTTCCCCTTGAGTAAGTGATGAGAAAGAGAGAGAGAAGGAAGCCAAAGCCTTTAATAACCTAATTTTGAAAGTGAGGTACTGTCACTTCTGTCAAACTTGATTTGTTTGAAGCAAGTACCTACTTGTAACCTGTACGCTGTGGTAGGAAAATTATACTATGATGTAACTGCCAGGAAATGGGGATTATTGGAGTCATCTTGGAGGCTGGTTATTACAATTATATATAAATTTAAATGTGCTTTTAAATTATAAAATATGTGTTTTAAAAATATATGATACATATCAGGGGAACCAGCAGTTAGTGTAATGGCTATGTCACTGGACTCCCACGCAGTCAACCGCGGTTTGTGTCCCAGATCCGGTGGCTTAAAACTCACGCCAGGCGCGTGTGCGTGTGTGCCCAAGATCCCAAGAGGAGAATGCAGGAGAAGGGATTGCGGCGTAACCATCCCCCCCTGGGGGGTGATTTCTTGCTCTCTGTATCTGTCTGGCTGTCTGGCAAGCACGCGTGCCCTATAGTGAAAACTTCTCCAAATATATATATATATATGATACATATCTAAATTAAATACTTATACACCTAGGATGTTTTAAATGTTTGAGCAGGATTTTTCCAAGAGTATTAATCAAAAGTTCTAGTTTCAATTTGAATATTTATTTTTTTTAATTATTTTATTTAGTGTTATTTATTTATTTATTTAATTTGACCAGAGAGAAACAGCAAAAGAGAAGAAAGTGAGAAAGCAAGCCACCAGGTCTGGGACTTGAACTGTCGTCGGCCTTGAGGGAGTCCAGTGCCTCTAACCACCATGCCACCTGCTGGTCCCATCAATTTGAATATTTATTGCCTTATATTTAATTATTGTGCTTTTTTCACTATCATTTTTTCACTATTATTTTAATCTGAAGTACATTTAGCCTCTGGTGTTAATTGACAAGCTAATCATAAAATATTCTACATATGGGCCAGCCAGTGGCATGATGGCAATAGCTCAAGGCCAAGAATCACTAGTCTAAACAGATCTACCCATTTTATATTAGGTGTCTTGTTCAATGTCCATTTTTTAATCAATTCTTTTCTATAAAAAAAAAAGGCAGCATCTGTGATCACAGCTAGACCCCACATGGGCAATTACATGACTTAAGTCCCAGACCTGGCAGCTCAAAAAATATGTCGGGGGCAAGCCCCATGGCCTAGTGGTTAAAGAAGCTGGATCCCACAAGGCCAACCATAGTTCTAATCTACCCTAGTGGCTTGAAAATCATGCCAGGTGATATGCATGCCAAAATTTTGACAGAATAGAGAAATGGAGAATGGGTTGTGGTATGACTACGTCCTTTCGGGTGTGTTTTCTTCTCCTCTCTGTCTCTCCCTGGTAATTACACGTGCCCTCTGGAAATTTTAAGAGAGGAAAATATTCCAGGCACATGTGCATGTGTGCCCCATATCCCCAAGGGACAAATGGAGAAGACATTGTGACTTAACCATCCCCTATTGGGGGGGGGGAGCATTTACTCACTTTCCTTTTGTCTCTCCAGCAAACATACATGGCTTTTAACAAAATGTTAAAAAAATAAATAAAATATATTTATTTTAAAAAGAAACATTCTACTTACTTTAAAACATAAAAGTAGACCCTATCTGTATTTCTACATGCCCTCTGCTTTCTATTCAGAGTGGGGGATTTTATTTAAGGGACAGGGAACAGGGATGGAAGGAGTGAGAGATGATAGAAGGAAAAACCTGACTTCAACATCCTGCTTTTTATTGATCACATATATAAAGGAAACTAGATACTAACCTTCAGCTAAGGCAGCATTCCTATGTATGGATACAACAGGATCTGATATGGAACCAGTGGGAAGAATTAGGCCATTTATCTTTTATAAAGAGTAAGACCCTAAATGTGTCTAGGTTGAAGAGTTTATTAGCTTACTGTCCACATTTTATAATATTAGGTTGTTGGAAAAGTCATAAGTATTTTTATATGTTTTTCTATAAAAATGCATCATGACTTTTTAGACAACCCACTGGTATCGCATCCTGACACACACTGGGAATCCATGTATTACAGTGGTCATAACTTTCCTGAGGATCTGCCCTTGTTGCCAATAGTAAGTCATGCACTGTGAAGATTCCTATTTCATTTTTAGCTGCCCTTGTCTGACCACAGCAGAAAACATGCCTAGTCTCCAGCTAGATAATGAGGAATTTTTGTGCTACTTATCTCTGGACGTATTGTTGTTGTTTGATTTTTGGAAAAACACAGTTATTTTTGCTTATTCTTTTGTTCATTATCTCTTGCATCTTCCAGATTTGGTCCTGATACCCAGAAGGTGCTCAATATGTGTCTGTTAAATGAATTAAAAGAATGTTCGCCTTAGATTTATAGTACCTGTACACACTCTTGTCCATGCGCTCATCTCTGGAGTATGGTGTTTTGACTTGTTACTTGGTAGGTTGAATGACTTCCACTAGAATCCTAAACCTTTGAAATAAAGTTATCTAAGCCTCAGTTTTGTTTTTTCTAAATTGGGAAATACAATTTCCCCCAAAGAGTGTTTAAAACTGAAAATATGATACTGTATGTGGAAAAGTTTTGTAAACAGTGTTTATTAATGTATTATTGTTTTATTAGTGTCATCAATCACACCAGATATAAATGATACCCTATTATAATAAACCTCAAGGATTTTTGGTCATAATGACACCCTGTTGCATGAAATATCTATCTAGTAACTAAACAATGACCTGAGGCTTGGGACTATCATTGCTAGTTCAAAGTATAGAATACTTTTATTGTAATATATTTATAAAACAACTTGATGTGTAGTTACATAGCCAGAATTAAATCAAAAACCTTCACTATGCCTGTTTTAAACTGTCAAGCTAAAACAAAACAAAAAAGTGGTAGCCGCCAGGCATGACAATCATTGTACAAGCATTTGGAGATATTATATCCTTCTATCTACCATGTGTTCAATTGCAGATAAGTCTCACGAAGCAAAGTTGGTGGGCATGTGAGCCCAGACATGTGAGTTCTGTTCATGATTCTATTATTAATTATATCAGACTCCTCCCCTAAAAAATTACTTCCTACCTCCATTTTCTCACTTACAAGAGGTGTGTAATATTAGATTAGTTTTGGGTTTTGGGAATATATTTTGTGAAACTCTAACGACGCAAAGACTATCCAGAGTGTCAGAACAGAGTTAGGGTACATTAGAATAGGTACATTTTGAAACCTGATACTTGCTTAATTCTGATTTCTACTTTGGGATATTTCTTAAATTTGTATTGAGACAGGACACATTTCTTGTTTTTGTTTTCGCCATAAGTATATCAAATTTGTCATGTCCAAAATTGAATCCAACATTTCCTTCTCTTCTCTTATCAAACAATACTGTCTCCTTGTTCCAAAACCCAACTATGGATCATCCAGGTGAAAAGACTCAATGTTGTAAGTCTTCCATTTTCCTCACCAGATCTTACCACTCCTACATCTAATCAGTTACCAGGAGGTCTTAACTAGAAAAAAAATTGACAATATTGATTGCAAAAACCAGAAACTTACTTAAGGCTTTGGTCATGTTTTATTTAAAACAAAACAAAACCAGAAAAATGGAATACAATTTATGTATTGGACCTTTAGAATGATTTATCTTTATGTGTTCTATTTCTTGATCTGATGAACTCAAAATCCTCTTTCTAGTGTTTATCAAAGTACTCAAGATATTAAATTGTTATTAATAAATATTTTTTGTTTATCTGATTTCCAAGAAATATAATTTTTAAACTTGAAGGCTATGATAATCCAAAAGCTTATTTGAATGGAAAATTGGCTTTATTTGCTTCATCATAGGATATTTCCATATAGGAAATTTAATTTGTTTACATAATCTATAATAATATTTGCTATTGGCCAGCAACAGTGGTACAGGCTAGGGGCACTACTGCAAGATGCTGGAGAATATGCGAGAAGGCACTGGATTTATATCCTGGGCCTATTTCTTTTTATTTATTTATTTATTTATTTTTTGGAGAGGTTTTTGCTGTAGGGTTCATGTGCTCACCAGAAAGATAGAGAGAGATAGAGAGATAGAAAGCAAGAAATTACACCCGAGGGGGGATGGTCATGCCACAATCCCTTCTCCTTTCTCCTCTCGGGATCTTGGGCACACATGCACACGCACATGCCCTGGCGTGAGTTTAAGCCACTGGGTCCGGGACTCAAACCTCATTCAGCTACATGGGAGTCCAGCAACATAGCCATTATGCTAACTGCTGGTCCCTTCCTGGGTCTGTTTTAATATGCATACATACCTATAGACATGCCTGTGATCTTGGCTGGCTGGACAGTTGGAATGAGGATTAGAGCATGTTAAAGACCCTGTGGAGGATACACCTTTCTCTTTGTAAATTACTAAATAAAACTTTAAAATGTTTGCTATAAAAAATATAATCTTTAGTCCATGTTTTTTAGAGGAAATAATATTCTTCTGTGTAAATGAATTCACCAACCACATTGCCAATTAACCCATCCATCTGCAAATGAATTATGACCCTTATGATAGTAAGGCTTTCATTGTATATGGCATGTACACATCTCTCTTATGAAAGATAAAGCATTTTTTCCTGGATTTCTCCTTCAGCCAAAAGAAACAAACAAATAAAAACCTTCAGATAATCTTACTCAAAAGAGTTCTAAGTTTTATTTTTTCCACTGGCTTACACAGCAGTTGAAACATATGCATATGCATGGAGCCATGGCTTGTGGAGAGAAACCTGTTTAGAGTAAGGAGTACAGTTTTTGACTTTCTTTATACAGTTTCTTTTATCTAGAATGCCTTTCTCCTTAACAATTCTACCTAAGAAACTCATATCCACCAATCAATTGTGTGTGTTTCTTTCAAACTGCCCTTTGCTCTTTTCTTCCTAGAAGGAATTATTGCTATTTCTCTCATGTTCATCTAGAACTTGAAATGTTTTTCAACTTCAGTACTT